AGATATTTAAATTCAGTTGGCTTGTATCTAACTTGTAGATGCTTGCATTTTTCCACAAGCATTTTTTTTAATTTGAATTTTTTTTATAATTTTCTGATCAAAATAATACATATTATTTAGAAGCTCTGACTAATAATGAAAGATTCTTTTATTTCTTTTCTACAGCTATACCTTTCTTCTGTATCTTCACATTCATAATAATCCAAGAGTTTTTACATCTGTGTACATATGGGAATAACATGGTGGTTATATCCTCTTTAGGTGGAAAGGAGCAACTGTGTAAACTGGTAACTTTTAACTTTTGGTTTTCCTCTCAGACTAATTTGAAAATGGAAAACATGATTTAGCACCTGAAAAAAAGAATTGGTGCTATAGATGTGAGCCTAGTTTCACCCCTTTCTGATTTCCTTCTTCATCTATTGCATCTATTCCTGAAATATCAGAATGCAAATACATTAACATTCATTACATCTGCTGAGGTCAGAGCATTTGAATAATTCCAAATTAAGGATGGTAACTTATCGTGTCAGTGTAGCAGACCTCAAATGCTGACTTGTTCAGCTGTCATGGTGTAACACCATACTACAGACTGGGCTTAAATACTGAAAATTAAAGTCTGTGGTAGGGCAGCACTGAGTATTGCACTGCTCTTTTGTTCATCTTCTTTTTACTTTCATCAGCAGAGCTTTTTCAGGTGCTCACTTTTCTCTGGAGCACTGGAGCTGTTCCAGCAGCCTGTGCAGTCACAGGGAACTGGAGCAGTGAATCCTGAAGGGGTCTGAGAAGTGCATCTTGAGGGGAATGGAGCAGTGAATCCTGAAAGAATGGAACAGTGCATCCTGAGGGGAATAGAGCAGAGCATCCTGAAGGGAATGGAGCAGAGCATCCTGAAGGGATCTGAGCAGAGCATCCTAAAGGTAATGGAACAGTGCATCCTAAAGGGATGGGAGCAGTGCATCCTAAAGGGATGGGAGCAGTGCATCCTGCCACACACAGGGCAGCAGCTGCACTGGATGGAGTGGGGAGTGTGCAGTGCTAGCTGTGCCACCAGGATCTGCAGCCAGAGTGTTCTTCCTCCAGCTGCCTGGGCACTGCTAAGATCTGCAAGTTTAATGCATCCATACAAAATGTGCATTCTTTTGCTTCTCATAGCTGCACAGCTCTCATGCCAGTCCCACTCAGTTAAGGTGAAAAATATCCTCATATGGTTCTTATCAGCTACAGAGCTTAAGATTAGTCAGAGAGAGGTACCTGTGTTTTTGTTGTTTCTACCACTAGTTAAGCTTGAACACTTTGGTGTAAATAAGCTTTAATTTCTTTGTGGCTATGATTGATATTTAAGAGTGAGAGTAGAGACCCGAGAGCAACATTCCAGAATCTGAAGGGGCCTACAGGGAAGCTGGAGAGGGACTCTCCCTCAGAAGGATTAATGGGTACAAAGTGAAAGAGGGAAAGTGTAGCATAGATTAGGAAGAATTATTTTACTGTGAGTGTGGTGAGGCACTGGAACAGGTTGATCAGGGAGGTAACCTCAAAAAAGGAAATACAAGGTTGACTTCATGTGTGTATAGGTGATTAACAAAGGGCAGTATAGAAGGTGGTTTGTTCTAACAAGTGGCCTCAGAAAATATTTGTAGTTTTAAAACCTCAACAGCCCAATGACAAAAAAATAGGGTTAGTTTGAAGCATATATAACAAGTGTGTTCATGATAATTTTGTGCCCACCACAGAGCACTAAGCTGTTCTTGTTTGCCTTGTCCTAATGTCCACCAGGAATGAGATCTTCAAAGCTCCTCATGCAAATCCCACACACACTAACACCGGGGGTAGGTGCCAGGCTCCAAGTACTATACAGACACTGCTTGCCCTACATCATTTATTTTCATCCTTTCATGATAATATATGAGAAAAATCTTATAAATATACTGTATTTTGCTCCAGATTTAACTTTCTAAAGGGTTTTTCATTTCCTTCACTTTTCAATATATGTTTGAAATATCCTGTCTAAAAATTACCCAGTACTGCTGGTATTTCATTCTGCTCAGCTATTGTTTTCATTTTGAGAGTCGTCTTTTCTTCTGAAATAAGATCTAGACTAAATACCAAAATTCTTTCACTGCGTATTATGGCTGAGTGCACTAAAATATAAAAACCTTGATTTAAGGTTTTTTGAATTCAAAGATCGTAGGCAAGTGTTCATTTGAAGGTTCAGTGGCATTTTGAAATGAGAACATCATATATAAAGATGTCAGAGATGGAGCCTCCCACAGTGAGGTTGAAAGAAGAAGAACAGAATGAATAGAAGAGTTTCTGGGTTCCAAGGAATTTTAACATCTCATTACTTGAGATCACTGTACATATAATTTTCCAATATTTTGTATTATAGACTTTGAATGTATTGGTTAAAATTGCTTCATGCCTGGCATCAATTTAGTCTTATTCATTATCTCCCTTAAATAAAACTTTAAAAATAGCTGGTTTCAGTGAGTGAGCAATTTTCTGATACGTACAGATTCTTCAACATTTCTAAAGTGAACTTGTAAATGAAAACAGACTAGGAGGTAGCAGTCCCTCAGCATTTCTTGAGCCTGGTATTATATGAATTCAAGTAGTTATAATTTTTTACTAAATGTATAATTTGTCATTTGCATCATAACTCATCCCAGATTTTCATAATCCTACAATTAATGCTCTTGCTACCTAAATAATGCTGACTTTCATAGTCTAATGACAATTATTGTGATATTGTTTTTTGAAATATATGGTCAGTACTTTGATCAGTGTTCGTATGTCTTTGGTAATACAAAGAGGGGGATAGAACTGTGGCATAACTGAGGTAGGGCTTGGTTTTGCACCAGTGTAAGAATTTCTATATTTGGTTTAGCAGCTACCTTGATCCAGTGATGGAACTGAGGTAATCAATGACCTCATCAGCATTTCATCTTAAAATCTGTTCAGCATCAACACTTCATCTTAAAATTTGTGTCCATTTCTATTTTTCATTTCTGTGACACAGATGTAATCTGGCTCTAAGTAACAGACATTAAATGATATTAAATGCCTGATTATATTCTTCAATATCTCAACTTTTTTAAAAGTCCCATTAAAACATGTACCATATGCTTTCTATCTTTGTACCAGGGGTTTAAAACTGTAAAACTTGTGACCTTTAAAAGTAGAAAGCAACTTACATGGCATTTCTAGATATCTAATTTAGGTAAATATTACGTAAATGTAAAAAATCTTAGAGCTGGTTATCAAATAATGCTATATCTAAAACACCTATTGAAAGTACCAAATAAATAAATACATGCATTTATTTAAGAAAAAAAATACATCCATCATTCACTATGTAACTCTTCTAGTATTTGAAAGAGCTTATAAAATAATTAAACTCAAGATTCCTCCCTTCTGACAGTGAAATGAAGTGCTCCAGATAATTTACATCACTGTTTCTATTTCCTGTGCTTTGGGATTGGGTCCTAGTGCTTGAGAGAAACCTTCTGTTCTAGATACACCAGAATACCACTCCATATCTATTGCAAGACGGTGCTGGGAGCTGAATGGAGAAGCAAAAGGAAGGAAGGAGGTCCAAGAAAATAGAACTGCCTTCCATTTTCTTTCATGTCTGCTGGGAAAACAGAAATGGTATTCTGTGAAGGATCTAGTCAGTGTTTCCTTCTGTGAAACACTGGAAACAGCTTCCTAAAAAGTAATTATGTTGTGTCATGCCAAAGAGATTTTAAGAACAGGTTCAGTAATGTCTGTCTTTATGAGGAATGGAGATGAGATCCTCTCTCCTGGAAAGTGATTGGAGGTGGAGGTCCTTAGAAATAATGGCCTTTTTGGCACAGGGATAAATCTGCTGTCTGGTAATATCTGAGAAATTTTGAGTGTTGGTATTAATCAGACAGTTCAAAAGTATTTGGGAAGCCTTGCTCTGGCTGATCCTTCCAGCTCCCCATTTCTGCTACGTTCTGATGCCTGCCTGGCTGCTTCAAATGCAGCCAATTTCCAGTGGCACTTGTTTGAGATCAACCATACAGAGATCTTTTTCCTTTCTTCCTTGCCCTTTTTCCTCTTTCCCCTTTCCCCTTTCCTCCTCCTTTCCTGATGGAAGCAGTGGTTGGACAGAAGGACTCTTTGCTTTTTCAGGTAAAAGGTGGGTCACCAAAAGAGTAACCTTCCTTCCAGCTCACTGGGAAACACCACAGCGTCTGACTGGCCTCTCAGGAGAGTTCTGTCATCCAGGGATGTCCCTTGGCTTGGGAAGAGGTGGATCCCAGCAAATGGAGCAGGCAGGGCCCATTCCCTCTGCCAGGGGTGGAAAACCTCTGCTCTGCAGGAAGAGGAGCTGTGCAGGGACCCCTCTGTAGCTCTGCACCATGTCAGACCAAAGGAAAGAAAGGAGACAATAGGAGTTTCCTATTTTAAGTGGAAAATTTTGACAGAAAAATTAAAAAAATAATAAGATGCAAAAGAGAAATACAATCTGCAATAGTGGTAATTGACTGAAATTGTTAGTGAGTGGTTTAGTCTCAGAGAAGCCCACAAAAAACTCACACCTGGGCACGAAAGGCTGAGATAGCCCCTCACATCAGTGCCAAGCTAATGAAAACATGCAACCTTTCCAAACTGGTAACAATTCAAAACCTTCTCCTGTCTTGAACTGTACTTTATTCCTTCTCCTCCACTAGTTTCTGAAATGAGTTTTTCTTGTTATCATAGGCAGCTTTGCCAGTTCTTACTATTTTATCATGAACTTCGAGGTATTTGATGCTTTATTTAAACCCTCAGCTCCTGCAAATGCAAAAAGAAATTTTTTTAAAGGTAAAACAAAACTTTCTAGGTCTCATGACTATGTAGGAAGCTTGAAAGTGTGATCCCAAAAATATACCTTAAGACTTAATTCCTCAACATTCAGAAGTCATCATGTGAATATAAAGAACCTAAGTATGCTGGGGGTTTCAAATTCTTGTTCCTTCATTTTTTTTCCCTAGTCTCATGGATATTTCATCTGTTTTCAGAATTTTGGGAAATCCAATTGACGATCTGTCAAAGTTTGGAGCAGTGCATGTACTGAATGAAGGTTATAATATTTTTACTAGAGATTCAAGCCCTGGTGCAGAAAGGAGACAGGGACTTCTCCCTGGAAATGAATGGTAAGTCATTTGGCATCTCATGGCTGCGGCTCTCTAGTATATCAAGCAAAAAAAAAGAGAAGCCAGATAGGAAACTAAAATCCATATACCAATTGCTTCTTAAAACTTGCCATTTGCTTTATATGCCCTACAGTACTTTCTACTTAGACCATGTGGTAGGACCTCCTGTGCTTGGCAAGAACTTGACAAGAAGTTTATTTGATGTTTTAAAATATTTGGATTATTTGATAACTGAAAAACATGAATATTTTTTGCAGAAGTGTGAAAATTCGTAACAGAATAATTTGCCATGACTGAATTTACGTATTGATTCTCACAAAAAGTCTTTTGCCTTTATTATACTTTTCTTTTCCAATTTGCCTTTGTGACCTGGCCCATTCCTGAAAACTCTGTTGCTATGTTTGATGAGGACAGGAACAGAACCCAGATTTTCAGATTTCCTTTAAGCAAGTTCATTTTCTGTCCCTTTTCCTCATGAAAATAACTTTGAAGATCCTTACTAAAACTAATTGAGAAGGTTGAAAGCTTGCCTCAGATTTTTTCCCCCCCGCTAAAGTTTATTGAGAAGCCTCCTAGGATTGGGCTTTAGGGTCTGTGGGCTGCTCAAATCGAAGGCCAAATCCTCAGAGGTGCTGAGCAGCTCCAGCTACAGACTTGGCTTCTTGTTAGTAGTGGCTTCCAGCAATATCTGCAGCTCCTACAGGGATCAGGACTTAGTGGCTCTTTGCAGGTCCCAACAGGCATTCATTCAGGCTGATGCATTTTTAGGGCTCAGTTTCACTTGCAGTAAGGATGTTTTCAAAAGCCTGTCTTGTGTGCAGTAGCTTACAGATTGTTAAAGATCCTTCTGCAGCTGAGTGCTGTGAAGAATCAGGGTCTTACGGCTAAAACTTCAGTTCTGTTTGCAGTCTCCATTTGATAGTTCCCGTGCTTGGACAGGAATGTATTTTTGGGGAACCTTAAGCCTAAATTATTTGCCAGTTTGCTGTCTCCTCTCCAGTAGTAAACACAGTTTCAGTTGGTGTTGCTGACTATGATCCAGGAGCCCTCTCCTGTGCTTGTCACAATCACCTCTCTAAATGCTTTAGCTGTTACAATCTCAATGTCTTGAATTTATGCACTGAGGAAGTGGACTCCTAAAATTAGGAATGTTGCTTTCAATGTGCTTAGTATGTCATTTTACTGCCACAGACTTTCCTCTTTCCTTCAGATGATTTCTGTTGAGAAGCTTGATTCCAGTTTCTATTTTCTGGTCCACATCCAAGTATTCTCCTTTTTCTATCTTCTTCTTCTACTGAAGTCCATAAAAAGTTGCTAAAGCCAAAGATAAATGTAACAAATACAGCCATGACAACCCTGTGATAGGCTGTTTCTGGTCACGCACTGGTATAAACTGGCAGTAACTGGTAATATCAATAATTACCCAAACTTACATCAAGCAGAAGCAACATGCCATTTGTTACATAGAAAAGATGATCTGAATACTAATAGGATAATATATTAGATTTATATCATGATTTTTGTGAACATAACTCAAAGTTCTCTAAGCTTAATCATTAACTCTGTTTTACAGATGAAGACAAAGTTGAAGTGAGCTGCCCAGGTTTGTGCTGCAAGTAAGTCGTTCAGCTCAGAACAGTCCAGTGAATTGTCTGGAGAGCTCTTTTGGCTCCCTTATTATTTACCTTAGAAGTCTTCAAACAGTGAAATGAAAGAGAAGGGGACATGAGAGGAAATTAAACCATATAAAGACAACTAGTCAGCCAACTCTTCCTTCTCAAAAACACAAAATAAAAGTTTCATTCAATACCCGCAAACGCAGATGTCACCAATTAAAAGCAAAAGTAGAAACAGACAATTCAGGCCTTTTGTTGTTGTTTTTAAAAGTGTTTTTTCTATTGAAGCCCTACACATCCATAGGATGCAGATCAGACTAACAATACACACTTCCAACTTCTAGTCTTTCTTTGTGATAGCACTCAGTTCTGTGTTTGCCAAGGAAAATCTTAAATACAAATAAAAATAAGAGTACTGAATGACAAATTCCAACACCAAAAAATTGTATAAACCAGCAAATAATTTTCCATATCTCAGTTTCCAATAATGGTTATGTACGTAAAGAAATAAACAAGCTAAGAAATATTTCCATTCATTTGCAATGATACGTGACACTCAAGTGTCAAGTCTTTTCAAAATATTAAGAGATAATTAGGCTATTTTTTTGTGTAAGATCTTCATATGGTTATTCATTTACCTCCTTGAAAATCTCTCCGAGTGCTCTCGTGTGTGACTTAGAAAAGCAGCATTCACAGGTTTTTCCAGGCTTTCTCTGCAAAGAGCTGGGCCTGAATGCAAAGAGCAACCGAAAATGCAGCAGTGTTGGCTATTGCTGTGCCGAGTTTGTGGGCTTAAGCTCTAAACTGGAAGCTGAACTTTGCTGCAGGCATGGAGTCTCCATGAAGAGCACATGGGGAGAAGATGCTTCATAGGAGCTCTGGATCTCCCTGGCACATGGAGTCACCTGGAGGAGTCTGAGGGCAGCCAGGAAAGCACTGAGGTGAGGGGTGTGTTGTGCTGACTCTGCTGGGCTGGTGATCCAAAGAGAAATTCATGGGGTGGGCTTGTAAATGTTCTTTTTCTGTGAAATTTGTCCCACAGCACAGCAAGACTATGAGCTTCTTACTTGGGTAAATGATGTAAATCTGGTCCTGGGGAAGGGACACAGCCTTGAGGCATTCAGATCTAATGAAACACACACAGCACACATGTGGCAAAGCATGGCATAAAGCATCCATTCACACATTTTACCTCTTAACTGGCATTGTGGAAGTGCTCACTCAAGGTCATCCTTCCTTTCCAAATATAAACCTGGGACTGATTATAGATAGCTTTGCATCAGAATCATGTGAAACTCGTGGGTTTGAGTTCAGAGGAAACGTGGGAGGTTCTTGTTATGATTTTAAGTTCACTTGAATTTGAAACTCAGGATGAGACTTAGGGAGGGGAGGACTGAACACAGATGGATTCTCAGGAAAGAATACATTCAAACCAACCCTCATGAAATGCAATGGCTTAGGAAGAAGCCCTCACTCAAAACATTAAAACAAATCAAAACACATTACTATCTCTTAAGATCTGACTCTTAATGCTACCAAACATCCCTTTTCCCATTCTAGGCAATATCATTTTTAGGGAAAAAAAAAAAACAAAACAGAAAAGAAAATGCATAATATGTTGCCCAATGCAACATATCCCCACAGCATCTCTAAAAAGCAGGTGGAAAGTATATTTTAATTAATTTATAAACAAAAGATTATTTCCTGCACTGCCAGCAAAAATCCTGTTTGCCGACAAGGTTCTGGCTTCAAACATTATCAGCAACTGGCAGGATGAGTCCTTTTATGTAAATGAATTCATTATTATTAATTTCTGCTGGTGCTGAACGATTTATGAACTGCTTTTCGAATATGGAAAAGTGGTTCATGAATCAGAGGGGAAAAAATGTTCAAAAAGTCCTGGGTCGATAAATAACAGTAGTCATTCATGAATCCCGCCCATGGTGTCTTTTATCTTCAGTAGGGAGAAGATCAAAATGATAAAATAGTAATGTGCCAACAAAAAAGGATTGAATGGGCAGAGACTGGTAACATTGTCCTCTCCGAGCCTTAATGGGCAGGGATGAATGGTGACAGACTATCCTTCACCAGCAGGCAGCCACAGACTGATTTTTCCAAGGTGAAACGCTCCTTTTCCCTGCCACACAGAGCCATGATAAGAGGGAGCTGCTGAACAGGACCCCATGTGTGCCCCTGCCCCACAAACCTGCACAAGCTGTGGTCAAGGGATGGGGCTTTGCTTCTCAAGGAATACCCTGTCTTGGTTTGGAAAGACAGGTGTCTGCTAAGGAAGACAGGAGCCTCCCTTGAAATGGAAAATTCAAACCCCCTCCCTCTGAATTATTATAATTTTGAAATTAACAGGCTCTCAGGCATAGATATGGGAGCAGGAATAACAGGGAAGAAAATACAAAATAAAATAAACAATGCAGTAATACAAAACAAGAGTCAGAACATGCCCTGGCACACTGTGGGTCAGGGAGGTGTCAGCAGTCCCATCCCAGGGTGGCTCAGCCCTCCTGCAGCGCCAGCTGTGCTTCTGCTGGAGCAGGATCCTGCACAAGGGGGGAGTTTTCCTCTGGAGCTCCAGGGCTGCTGGAGATGGGCCTGGACTTCCTCTAATGATTCCCTGGGAAAGGGCTGCTCCTCTGGGAATCCTGTGGATTTAGTGGAAATGGGATCCAGTGGAAAAGGCTGTTGTGGTGTTCCAAAGTCAGATTGTATCCAGGTAGGAATTCTTGGCTCCTCCCCTGGGCAGAGCATCTCCCTATGGGATGATGGAATTTTCTCAGCCATGCAGGGACACTCAGTGGCCATGAACAGCAGAGATCTCCTGGAGGGAGGATGGTTGTGGAAGAGATAAAGAAAGTTGCCAATGAACAAAGATAACTGCCTCACCTCCAACATATAGGAATAGAATGGTCACCTCCATTTCCAACCTAAGACAGCCCCCTGCCCTGGACATTGGAATTTCCATCCCCCCCCAGCAGCCTGCTGCTTCCCCCACATCTCTTACACCAATTCCTGAGAGTTCTCTTGGAGCTGGCATGGCACCCAGCTCTTCTCTGCCAGGGAGTCCAGCACCAGTGGGATTGTAAATACTCTCATTCCATGATGAAGAGAGATGACAAGTACTTGATGGAAAGTGAGAAATCTGGCAGCTGTTCACTCCTGTTCTCAGAGCACATCACCAGCCCTCAGCAGACTAGGAGCCTTCAGGATAGCACAGTGTGTACAACAATTGACATCAGCCTCGCTCAATGGAGACAGCTTTTCATCTGCATTTGAAGAAATCAGGCTGAAATTCAAAGTATTCTGTGTACCTGGAGTGATTGTGGTCATAGAAATGGTATTTTCTCCTTTAGGATCTTCTCTGATATGAAGGTCACAACAGAGAATTGGGCCAAATTTATCCCCAATGTAATTTCATTACAATAACAAAATTCTGCCCAGAATGAATTTAGCCCATTATTATTTCAATGTTAAATATAGGGTATGTCTTATAAAACCAGAGTAGAGAAGGCTATAATAAAAATCTCTTTTCTGAGTAGCCTGTCTTTCTAGAGCTTTGATATACAAAGAAACTACAGCTACATATTGTGATTGTTTGTCCTTAAATAGTTTTGCTTGGCTAAGAATTTCAAATCCTTTTCAGGTATTAGTCAAAGCATCCTGTGAGGTATGAGGCATTAGCACTAAAGGTGAGGTAAATGAAGGAAAAGCTACCACTAGGTCTTGAAAAGGTTTTGGCAGACTCAGTAGTCAATCTAGAATAACTGTTGACTTTTCTTGTGGAACCAATAGTCAAAAGTATCTTCCAGCAGAGGAAAATAAAATGTCAGACTCTGGCTGTTTTTTAGCTTTGTTCTTATATATAATTTGACCATTTTCTTAGTTTCAGATTGCCACAGGACAAAATCTTGTGCTTCTGAGCTCAGCAATGAAGTTTTAATCACCCCAATATACATCTTTCCATGACATATATTTTTCTGTCCACCAAAGACATAATGGCTGCTCCTTTTATGGGAAACCAGGATTTAATCCAGTAAGTCTGTGCGAATCAATATTCTTGTGAAATGACACCATGTTGAAGTTATTTTATGTTATGTTGATGGTTAGCTAATTTTGTAATGGAGACATTTCTTCTAGAAGCAGACATAGTATAATTTAGTGGTAAAAACGTCAATCACAAGGGGTTGAACACTTATGTCAGGGCAGGAAGAGGGCAGATTTATTGATGGAAATGTATCTATATACTCTTTGTGGCACTCTGACCTGAAATATCCATTTTGGTTATAATTTTGTTTTGTGAAAATGACATCAACTGCAATCACTAATGTAAAAGTGACACTGGAATGCTTTGTTCCAGAGGCCTGATTTAAAAGTCTTGCTGCTGTTTGTTATAGTAACAGCTTCTCAACAGCAAGGAATTAAGGTATTCATTTAACTGCTCCTTTTCTCTTTCTGTAGGAAACCACACTGTTCTTTTTTTTTATTTCCCTACTGTTTAATATTGTTTAAATAATAAATATATAGCTTGTTTCATAATGACATTGAGGTAACCAAGAGAAAGGAGGCAGGTGCTCTGGCTGGTACTATATGTGGATGTATTTTTGTATGTCTTTTATTCCTAATGTTAGTTAACCACCCACCCAATGCCATAAAAAACATCAATAAGAATGGGTAAAAGAGGATGGAATAAAATAAGTACAGAGGTTGAGAAAGGAACGTGGCAAGGAAGGAGGGAAAGAAAAAGCACAGTGCAGAATACAGGGAACATAGGAATGTCTCATTTGTGACTTCAGTGGTTTTTTGTTGTTTTTTATTTACAAAACTCTCAATTCATTGGACTCTTTTTTGCAGATTTACAATGATGTAGCTAAAAAAATAGAATCTGGCCAACCCTCAGCTTAGAGGATAGGAAAAATTCTCTAGGAGCAATGTGAATTTTACAGAGAAGCTGTGCTATCCGGTGAAGTGCTGGCTATTGTCTATTTTCTACTGCACTATCCTCCCCTGAAAGAGTGTCTTGAACTAAATAATATAATGACATCCTAATTAGTTACAGCTTAATCTCTGGGCTAGTCCTGAGAAATCTGCACTTTAGTGTACAGTGGTTCCAGCACAATTGAAATTTTAATTTGGTATAACTAAGGATGGAGTGTTTTACCAGTAGCACACAATGCATTTGAGTTCTCCCATCTCCTGCCCTTCCATTTACACCCCTTGCATGACTATCACAAAGAGCTGACAGCTCACTTTTCTCTAACAATCACGTGTTTTCACTGAGATGTACAAAATCCATAATCTGCTTTGTGAATCTTCATTCTTGGCTCCTTTTCAGGCAAATAAAATGACAGAATCGGAGACCATCCAATGTCCTGCTCTGGTGAGTCACAATGATTTTATCACTTAAATATAGAAACCGTTTACAGTCTGGGGAGATCCACTTCCAGCAGGATAAGAAGTGGGAATTTGTCTTATATTTTAGAGCCACAATCCCCAAAGATGTTTCCTTTGAGTGGCACTCAAGACATTTGAAAAGTTCATTCATTGGAGCATCCTCAAACAAGCAAAATCTGCTCATTAGGGAACGTAAAGCTCTGCTCATAACAGCCCTGCTAGGCATGGTGTGATAATTCACAGGTACTCATACAACAGGATATTTGTTTGCACACTATCAGTCATTGCCAGGCAGCTTCTTCATGTGGACTGGGACAAGATGGGATGGGAAGGCATCTGATCCTTCCAAAAGTTAGTACTGCTGAGCAGTCCCAGTGTGGTCACACATCTACACACTGAAAAAGAATCAAAATAAGATTGAAATTAGGTTTACTTTTACACTTTGCCAATCAGATTGTGGGTAGTTTATGCTGCAGAGAAATGCTGACTGGCAAGAACAAACTCATTATTAAAATAAGAAAAATGTAGCTAATGTTTTGGGTATTTTGGTTCTATTTTAAAACAGAAATTTTGTTTTGTTTTTCTTAACCCTAGACATTTTAGTTCTGCCCATTTGCATAGGTAATATTGCCATCATATTTATTCACACTGCTCATAAAAGAGCACATCACAAAAGTGCCTGGAAAATAAAACTCCAATGAGAAGGGACCCATCAAGTTTAAATGGAGGTTTATATTGCAGCATTATGAGACAGAGGCTTGCACATTTGCAGCTCCCATGGCAGAAAGTGAAACTCTAAACAATTAAAGCAGCACAGACATCCTGCCCTAAAGGACTGTAAGCATTTAAAAAGCAGCCATGACCTCTCTTTACTGGGCCTGTTTTCTATTTAATTTACAGTCTTTATTAGCCAAGAAAATCTTGGCTGGATCTTAGTCAAAGTGATGAATATACAAGCATTTTGATCTACAGTTTGGGGCACTTCAAAGTATTCTTTACTTTATGATCATTTGTAATCAAGGTCAGAGCTCTGGTGGTAATTTAGATAGCACCTAAACATATTTATAATATAAAAATTGCTTTGCAGTAGCATGCATAGTGTCCTTTCTATTTTTGCTCACAGTAAGATTGGAGTTGCAGGCTATCCAAAAGTTACTCCTACAAGTTTGTGTAAGCAGCTCCATGCCTAGGTTTCTTTTATTCAGTTCCCACAATGACATAAAAAAATTGAGCTTATATGTGTGACAAAAACCAAAAAAGGTTTGTTTTCAATGGTTTATTTATTGAACTATAAGTCTTACTAACTTTGTAGGGAGAAAAAGTGAACCAAAAAAGCTGTAAAATATTTAAAGAGGAGGTTTTTGTCATCTGTTTTTCTCACTTTTCCATATAATTTGTTCATGCCCTAAGGTATAGCAAGTCTCAGAAGTGTTTCCCCTTTTTAAGTGCAGGGACTCTCATGCCAGCAGTGTCTTGCAAAACAAAAACTAAAGCTGTGATCGCTGTTTTAGCACCATCATTTCAGGTTCTAGGCCGTCTTTCTTTCCAGATATTGTGTCGTTCTATACATTATGTCTTTCTACATATTTCTCTCTAGATTTATCCTTTGTAGGACAAACCATCTGATTTTTGTACTTTATGTCTGACCTTTTGACAAGCACAATCCAAAACTGAAGCCCAGCCCTGAGTCCCAGTTTCTCCAGCTTTGGCAGGCACATTCCTTGCCCATTCTCTCTGACTCCACTGCAGGGATGCATTTTCAACATGCATGTTTTATCATGTCCCTCTTCCACTGCGTACCCTTTCATCAGCTCCTTCTTCCTCTTGCAGCCAAAAACATCCTATGGATATTTTAAGGCCCACATAGGCTCTTCCAAGACTGTTTTCCCCTATCACACCCACGAGGTACTGACAGATCAATGTGTCACCCACCACTCACAACAGATTTTTATTTGAAATACTGATTTCTTAAATTTTGGACTGTAGTCATTTTAGTTTCTTCTGCAAGGGTCCACTCCTATAAGAATCTACCAAGCTACTACACTTGCCCTTCTTCACATCCTCCCTTAAAACTCTCCTCTTCTGTGACACCTTAAAAAAATGATAGTGGTTAAGCAGCTGATGTGCTGTGACTGCATAGTAATCATAATTATTTCCCAGTTACCTCGTCATTTCTGCCCCTCTCCCCATCTGTTTGCTGTCTCTTGTCTTTTTCCTGGATCAAAGACTCTTTGGGGTACAGCCCATGCCTGGAATTCCTGTGCATTTGTCCTAAGCGATGCATCTCAGGTTCTAGGCACTACTGCAGTGCACATAAATAAAAATCACTATTCCTAAAGTAGAATCCTCTGCATTTTTATATGCATAAATTATAGCCACATCCTGTAATCCATTTTTTAGGCTAAACAATTGATTCAATGGGATTTGAGCCAGGGCAGGAGTTGGCCTATAGTCTTTACTCAAAACAAGCAACATAACATATTATTAATCACCCTAAATAGAGACTATCACATTCAGTGTTGCAATCTTACCTGTGGATAAAATAAATACCTTTCTAGAAACCTTATGACTTTTCTCATTTACAGTAGGCCAGGCTGCTCTTAAGAAAACTATTGTTCTGCAGGGAATAACAAGATTGCAGTGACTCCCTGGTCGTATTCCTTTTATGTTGATTGCTTGGAAGTTGACAGAGTGGTGAATACCCAGCAGACTCAGTTGTAGGCCACCCTGTCTCTGTATGCAAGGGGTCTAGAGGCACTTCTTCCTTCCCATTCAAAGTTTTTTAATCTCTTACTAGGGCAACACAAATCTTCTGGGGGCTGTAGTTTTGAATGTTATTCTGAATTTTGTTAATATTTTCAAATATATCTTTATCCATACTGCAACCACAGCCTGGAAGCTGCTGGTTATAATTCACCAGAGTCTTGGGGAATCAGTTTGGCCAGGAGAGGAGCTGGGGATGAAGCCCAAGCTCTTTGTACATGCCTGCATCAGAACTGTTGGTGGGAGAGGTGGTTCCAGGGGCCACTGTCTCCTGTGCAGTTCCTGAGGAACGACAGCTGTGTGCTTCCTCCTGTGGAACTTGGAAGAGCTGCAAAGGAGAGGAAAGCCAAAGCCAAAAATAAAAACATGCGCAAAAGCAATGAGTAAAATCTGCCAGATTCAGGGATCTGCTGTACTACTGGAGACCAGCCAGAAATCTGTGGAAGTCCACTATTAATGCAGTGGCTTGGTTGCAATTGCTCCCCTGACACCCCACCCCTTCCTTCCCCAGGTGAATCTTGTCTTGCATGTATAAGACAGACTGCAAAAAGCACACACACTTTTTTCCCCTCATAGTGTAATGTTTGTTTTACAGGTTTTCTGGGGCATCCTAAGTTGCTGATGTGTGAAAGTGAGACAAGTCTTGACATACTTGGTATATCCAGCTTGTATATGCTTACCTTTCATTCAAATTGACTGTTATTTTACCAAAGTGTTAATCTTAAATAAATGTTCATAGATCAGGCTGCTTTCCACTTTCTGCCAGTGTTTGGCTCATTAGATGCTGGGTTGTAAATGACTATGCAGATACAACCTAATGTTAAATATCTAGGACTTTATAAAGGGAGAGAGGCAGGAAGGATAAGGATCTCTTTGCTTCAGGCCAGAAGACAGCTATTGACTTTCTAGCACTGCCAAGGAGCCTTGTGAAGCATTTTCTGTTTGCCATCATCAGGAACAAGTTGCTGAGTTAGGAGCACACTTGAACCTGGTCTGATTCAAAAGCCCCCATTTCCACTGGCATAAGGAAACTGCTCGTAGCAAAACTAGTCCAGTGGAATAGGGAAACAGAAGCAAATTCCAGGTTCCTCCCTAGCCTTTCACAAAAGGACATGGCATGTTTTCTCTAGAAAAGGGATTTTGTGTTTGTGGTTTTGGTTTTCTTTTTCCCTCAAAGGACATATGAATTGCATAATTTTGTACTGAATTGCATAGTTTTGTACTGAATTCAGCTTTTACTGAATTTTCAGTAATTCATCTCTATATACATATATTGTAGGGCTTCTTTAATCAATTCTTTCTGTGTTATTGGGGAGAAATTTATCTCAATATTTTCAGTGAAATATTATGGTAGAGCTAAAAATTGCCTATTCTTCCTATCTGGGAAAGACATGCAGTACTGAGTAGATAAAGCAAAACTTCATATTTATTTTAGATAATTTAGGCTCTAATTATACAGAAGTGATGTGAGAAAGATACACAGAATCTGACCCAGAATTATGACTAGAAAATAATAATATCATCCTAATTAAAAACCATATAAGAGTTTGTTATCCAGCCTCAAATCCCTGACAGACTTGTATGCTCAAATAATCGCAGCATTTGCAGGCTAAAGATTTAGTAAAAGTTTCATGGAAAAAAAAAATCCCTAATGAATTCTCAATGTTTTTTAATATTGTGCCTCTTCAACAACAATGATGGCTTTTGGGGACTCTTGCTCACTTATGGGACATGTGGGTCATTCGAAAGCTTGAATATTCATTATGAGATGAGCTGGAACTGGATGTGCAATATGTTTGGTAGAAAACTAAATTTTATGTAAATTCTACAGTGATGTTTTCTGGCTCAGTTAGAATCCATTCTACTGTTTATCTTTATACTAATAATGGTCTCTTGGGTTTCTTTTTAAGCGTCTCTGTATACTTTTTTTTCTTTTAAAATGAAAGATGAAGATCCAAAGAAAACAATTTTTAAAGATAGAAATAGAAACACTAGGTAACAGAAATTAGCAATGCAATCTCTGCATATATTATGTGGAAATCTACTGCAAAATTGCAGCTTGGAATTTTATTCCTAGGACATTAACTGTTTCATGTTTGAACAGCATTTCTGCTCTGATTCCCCATTTTTTCAGAGCCCCTTTGGATCTACTTTTTAAATCTATTTCTGGATATTTTGTAATATTTGTTAAATTATTCCTTCTTCAGAATGATAAATCCAGTTGTCTGGAAGAAATAAAATCTGTGGCATATCTCTGAAATGAGAATTAACCTTGATTACTACAGTAATTTACTAATCAAAACTGGAGACCTGCTAATCAAGCCTGAATTACCAGCTGCTTGATTTTTATAGTGACATAACCAAAACTGAACATTTGGTAAACAAGGATCTTATTTATGAGTGGGAAAAATTGGCATATGGCCATATTCATCTAAATATATTTCTCACTATATTGTTGTGATTTCCTTATCAGCTGATGTACTTCTAACTTAAGTCATCCATCTAACCCCAAAATGATGAGCCCTGAATTTTTGATTACCCTGGAACTGGAGTCAGAGTAACCAATTTCACGTTTTAAGAGGTTTTCTGATCTACCTGTTGTTCTTGGACCCAGGGAGGAGCATGGCTGATATATCACAGCAGCAATGTGTTACAGGGCTGGTCAGAGAGCACCTGGGAATGAAGGGAGCAGAACACTGGCAGCAGAAAGCAGAGGAGTGGAGGAGTGCAGTGAGCAGCCAGCTGGGAGAAGCTGCAGGAGGAAATGGCAAAGAGGGACAAGCCCAGGGGAGATGTGGCACTGAATCACCCAGGGAGGGCCTCCTGAGGAACCCCAGCCCATCCCTTGTGAGAGAGCATCCCTTGTGTAAATGGACAAAGTACCAATTACTGCAGCCTGTCTGAGAGGCTGGGATTGTGAAAGTATTCAGCTGGTTTCCTTAAGTGTAACTAATTTCATGGTTTTTAATTATTTTTTTTTTCCGGTCTGATTTCTGTTCATTTTTTCAGCTCCCAGATGGCATCCTGTATCCACCAACACAGAAAATAATTTCCCAGTATTTTCCTTAATGAATGACCTATTATGAACAAGCAGGAAAAACCCATATTGTGCAATTCTTCCACAGGAAAACTGATCATTAATATAAATGGAGAGAAGCCCCCAAAATGGGAATCTTTTTTTGTTGTTTGAGCTGCGCATGGTATTTCATTAAGGTGGCTTGTGTGGTTTTTTTTTTTTTTTTAATGTCTCATTCAATTGATATTGTCACGGGTAATTGTGCTGTTAAAAAGGTAAAGAACAGAAACACAAAAAGATTATTTCTAGAATAATGTTTATAGCATGAAATTCTCAGCTAGTCAGGCTCTTTCCCTTTCTCTGCTTGTTACTTTAGACCTAATTCCCCATTCTCTCAATTCTTCTCATAGAAAATATATACTAAAGCTAGTGCTGTTTCCATTTTTTCACTGTTATCTCACAAACCTGAAATAATATTTTTCCCTATAAGTCTTAATGTACTTGCACCTAACAGAAGTGAAGGGGCACAGAGATTAATTAAAATGTGTTCAGTGGTTTATAGCCAGTCTAAACCTCAAAGAACACCAGTTTGTGTTTAGACATGATCCTGCAAAGCTTCCAGGGGCCCAGCTCAGCACGGGCCAGGCTCTCCTGCAGCCAGTGCAGCCCAAATCAGAGCAGAGCAATCCTGCTGGGATCCACAGACAAACAGAGGGGTTTTAAGTACCAGGAAAACCACAAGTTAAAACAGAGTGCTAATATTGTGTAGTCTTGGCAGGAGAGACATCCATGAGGATAAAGATTCCAGATTTCAGGAATGGATTCTCAGGCAGTGATTTAGAACATTTAAAGAACGAGAGAGAAATAAGTAGCTTAGAGTTAAGCAAGAGGGGATTTTTTTTCCCTCAGACCACTGGAACAGGACTCTGCTCCACTCCAGTTCACATCCCTGCTGTTCCCTAAAGCCACAGCTGTGCACCTAGAAATTTCCATCAGAAGTGCTCAACATTGCCTCATGTGTTTAGAATGACCTCCCTCTACCACCAGATGCCCAAAAATCCACCTGGAAATCTGGATCATTTAAAACTGCACTAGGACATAACATGGAGGACATGAAGTCACTGAGGAAGGAGTAATTGCAAGGAGGAACTGATGGGTATGGAGGAAGGCCAGCAAAAAAGTACAAAACAACAAAAGTGGTGGCAGAAAAACTGGGAAAAGGAAGCAAAAATGGTAAAGTGACTCCATGATGCTTTACTGGCTCTAATGCAAGGGAAAATTAGGAAAGCATTCATTTATTCTGTTTCAGCCAAAGGAAAAAAAAAGTACAGAATGTAGATAGAACATGTGAAGAAAAAAGCCAACAAAGGAAGAGGAAATGAAAAGAGAGGAGAAACAAGTGCTGGAAGTAGAGGAGAGGATGGTGGGGGAGGAGGCAGCACAAAGAGATCTGATGAACAGGGCTTTTAGGTAAGTGAATTTTATTTGTATGTGTCATTTCCTACTTTTTATTGCATTTCTTTGGCAACCATCCCACAGTTCCATAACCTATGGGTGGGTGGGAGGAGGTAGCTCAGAGGGCAAAATGGTAGTTTTTGGCAGAATATTGACATGACTCTGAGTCAGGTCATTACTTGTGGTTGTCATTAGACAAATAGTGAAAGTGGGCTAATGGGGCAGGTGTTTATGAATCCTACAGGCCAGAGAAGGCTCAGTTTTCACAACCTGACTCACACAGAAAGGGAGGGGCCCAAATTATTCAATGCAGTGAAAGAAAGCAAAGGCAAGCGGTGATTTCAGCGCTGCAGAGGCCACAGGGACCTATTGCAGATTTACAGGATGGTTCTGTCAGGTTGCTTCAGCCCCTCAGCCACTTTGGAGGGTGGGCACTACACAGGTTTCTGTACTGGGGACTTCCTTTCTTGCGATCATTGGATGGAAATATTTTTCTGTAGTTCAAAATGAGACCCTGACGCACAAATCTATGAAAAAATATGACTTTCATAAAAAATGTTCTGAACTCTATCTTTTCTGGGTGCTTTTGTTTCTTTTTGCCCTCTGTTTGACTCTTTGCAGGCTTTTCCCCCTAATTATCTTGAATTTAAAATGGAAACATTTCTAAAACATACGGTGTCAAATAAAATGAGTTCAGATTTTTGAAGACTTTAGAACACACGCAGTAGCTGCCACCCTGAGTCAGAAAAAATTTCCAGTGCTTTCCCTCTGAGAGTGAGAAGAGCAAATGTCTGGGGAAAAAAGTGTATGAACTCTGATATATCTCTCATACAGAGCAATCCTTCTTCCCCTGTGTGCTCCTGCCCTCTGAGGATCAGTGTCAGAGACATTTTGATTTGGAGGCTGGATCTCGATCATCATGTTTAGTAGCTAGTGATGGATTTCATTTGCATGATTTCATGTAATCCCTTTTATGGTCCATTTACACTTTTGACCTCTACACCATCCTGTGGCCATGAGTTCTGTAATTTCATTATACACTGTGAGATAAAATACTTCTTTTGTTTATTTTAAGACTGATGCCTGGTCATTTAATAGAGGCTCCTAGTCCTTGCATTTGTAAGAGCTGTTAAATGATGTCTCTTTATCTTAGAAATCAGGTTTTTGAAATAAAATAATGTCTTTCAATTTTAAAGTCTTGAGATCAGGCAAGATCCTCCTTCTCCTCTTGTGAATCCTTCCATGAAAAAAAAAAGGAAAAATTCCCAACTCCAACTGCAACCTGATGAAATTAAAAATAATGAAAGCAAAAGTAGTTTTACAATGTTCATACTGCAGAGATAAATAGCCTTAGTCTTATTTTATATCTCCTATATGGTTTCCATCTCATGCCACATCATGGTGCTGGTTTCAGTTCTGTGAGATGTGGAACAGCCCATTTTAAGGCCATTCTCTGCTGCACAGCTATTAAATCATAAGCATAGTAGTGGAAGAATGTGTTCACTGAGTTCTCTGCAACAGTAAGATGGAGAAAGGTTTGGAAAGTCCATTTAAAAAATGGGAGTATCTTTGTACAAGACACCTGAGCATGATCAGACAGCAACCTACAGTGGGGCAGACTAGGGTGTGAACTTAGCAGTTTGCATTTTCTTCCAGCTGTAGTTGTCCAGCATCCTCTCTGCACCACTCCCAGCCCTGTGTTTTGTGTACCATTCCAGTCAGATTGCTGAGGAGAGAGACAAAGCACAGATTCCAGGATAAAATCAAAACTGCTCTAGAAATGCACTGTGTGTGGCAGCATTTGGAACAGTGGTGAGAGGTTAAAAAAAAGTGTTTGACTCTAACCCAAGAATCAAAATTAATGTCAGAGAATTTAATGCAACACCAGGTGTGGTGGAACAAAGGCTGTTGGGGGGTCTCATTTTGTTCAGTTATGACAAGCATTGTTCAGCACTTTAAAAGAAACAACAGTGTAATGGTTTTTACTGAATTGTATGAAGAAACAGGATAACTTTAACAAATATCACAAAACATGTCACAAATCAATTGTATTGAAAATATATTAGGTTTCTTTAAAAGAAAAGATCAGAAAAGGAAGCAGCACAAGCAGGAGGAGAAACAGCACACAAAGATTTACTTCTGAGTGCTACAAAATATTGAACTAAAAATAACATTAAAGATGAAATTTGCAATGAATCTCAAGCTGCTAAATTCCCAAAGGCTGGGTCTGCCAAAGGCTCTGTTGGTTTCCTCTGTTCTTTTCTGTCTTTATTTAAATATTTTATACAGTTGTCTATGTTCATGTGTAGTGCGAACTGTCATTTATATTTCAGTCCACTCTAAAATGGATCTTAGACTATCTCAAGCTGTGCACTGCAGCGAGGAGTTTGGAACTGAGAGGTAAGTTGAAGTGGTAGGGACAAATGAAGACTGATATTTAATGTAGTTTTTGTGTACTTATATTTTGCTGTCATGTATTTTGCCTTAAAACTGATTTGTAATTTTCTGCATTTTGTGACATTATGATAAGATGTGATGTAAGTGGAGCTTCCATTTAGCAAATACATTGGTGCATTTTTGGGTCACAGTGGTTGAATTCTGAATTCTGACCTTAGGCTTTCATGTCTATCAGTAGCAACATGCAAGTTTAGATCTGCACTATTAAATGCTTCTCTTTGTGCTTTGGACTTGCCAAGGTAACCTTTTTAAAACAAGACAGTCTTAAGCTTATTTTAGATTCACTTGTGTGATAGGCCCACAGGGTGCTGAGTGTCCTCACCCTCCACTGTCTTAGAACACAGGGCACACCTTTCCCAGGAAATCTGGGACTCACCATGGAGCTGGAACCACACCTTGGGAGAGACTCTGCCACCCTTCTGGTGCTGGGGGAGGAAGCAGAGGGAGCTGCAGACAAATTGCAGCCCTGGGGCACCGGCAGAGCTCCCAAATTGCTCCCTGCAGGCTGAGAGCCCCGGGCTGGGCTGGGCACTGCCAGCAGGGCAGGGGTGCCACCCACCCTGCCCATCCCTGCTGGGGCAGGGGTCTCTGGGGGCTGCTGCTGCAGCCTGACCCGAGCCCAGTCCTCTTGCTGATGCACTCTGCTATCTGTTAGATTTGATAAGAAAGGTTCACATATATTAAGGTGGGATTTTGCACTTGTTTTACACAAATTTACTAGTGTTGGACTCCGTCAGCTTGTTTAAAAGAAAGAATCCTTAAGAAATTATGTTGCTTTCTTGCTTCCGAACAGTAAATCATACAGAATAAAAAGTTTAAATAATGGCTATTAGATTAGGAAGTCTAAGAAGCTTTTATTGCTTAGGAGCTCTGACTATTAAAAATTGATAAATTGCCATTGAAATACAAGCAGCTCTGCAATATGATAGATCAAAGTTCATTTTTTTCCCTAATGCAGAGTTAAGATGAGCAGGTTTACTTTTTGCTCATCTTTGTTACAGATCAAAAACATTCCTTTATTTTTATTTGAGTGATCAATTTACTAGAAGAGCTCAATGGATACGTTGTGACTGCAGTAAAATTCTTATTCACAAGCCTTTTAGTAGTAATACAGTTTGCTGGCATTATGCAAACCTCAGGACATCTCAGCACTGCTGTCCAAAGTGGATAGTGTCTCTTCCACATAATACAGGTGCAAATTGATTAGTTATAGCTCATAAAGTGATATTTCCTAAAATATTTTGACCACGTTATTAAAAAGCTAACTCTTCTAGTGCTTCTACATTAAGTTAGCAGAAAGACTTCAAAATGTGTTTCAGTGGACAGAATTCCAAAGAAAGTACTCAAAGAACTGAAATGTAAACTTGGAAAGATGCTTTGCTGATGGCTTTTTAGAAATCTATTAATTGCATGTCAGTGTAGCTATATGAGTTTTT